TCTCACGTACTAGGACTGAAGAGTAGCAGCGTAACCTAACTTGGGAGCAATTTAAGGAGGAAGTGATGGCAAAATAATTTCCACGGGCTTTGAGAGTTTTTAAGGAATCAGAGTTTCTACAGCTCAGATAGGGCAACTTATCGCTTATTGATTACGAAAGTCAGTTTGAGCAGCTTTCAAGGTATGCCCCACACTTTGTAGATACAAAAGTTAAGAAGATCAAGAGGTTTGAAAATGGATTATGCCTAGAAATCGATATGATTATTATGTCACATCGTTTCACTTCATATCGTGAAATATTAGAGAGGGCTCATGCCATTTTATATCAGAGGACTACATTTGAGCAGTATGCCCAGCACGGCAAGGAGATATTGGGAAAAGAAAATGGAACGATCAGAGCAAGGATAGACGTAATTGGTAGAATAAAAGACCAAGCACATGAGTTAGTATCGGTGGGACAAGATGAAGTATTACACCGTGTCCTATGTGTAATAAACTTCACATAGGTGAATGCTTATTTGGAAAGAACAAGTGTTTTCGGTGTGGTAAGTTGAGACACATTGCTTTAAACTGTACATAGACTCTAAAGAAGAAGGATGATGATCATGACATGAACAAGAAAGGGAAGGCCCAAGTTTTATGCACTGAATCAGCATGAGGCGGAGTAGGATCCAAATGCGATAGCAGATATTTTATTATTATTAGAAGTACCTGTTTATATTCTTGATTTTACACCCTCCATCGCTAAGTCTAACGTGAAATTCTTGCTTCTTCTTCCAACCATTTTTTTAATCAAACGAGGTAGGATTACGAGGCGCAAGTGGTTATCTCATTTAATTCATTTTTCATGTTGATAAATATTATGCTAATGAAAGTTACAATATGATGTGTTATGTTATGATATGTAATGGCCCTCCGGTACCAAAGATATGATATATTTGAGCTCTTGCCGGTTTTTAAAGATATGATATGACGGTATGATATTTTTGACACATGATTTACTATTTTTATTTGGGATTGCATCATTAATTCGTGTCATATTGAGTATTCCCATATGCTCACCCATTTTTCCCCTACCTAACAGGTTAGAACGGGTCGTTGGTTGGCGGGTGATGAGGTACAGTCATGGTACCAGGATTTATGAAACTCAATAAAAATAATCCGGTGTAACAAGTCATTTTTTTTTTAATTTCAACAATTTCTTAGTTTTATTTCCTATGGATTTTTATTTAGAAATGTAAGACATGTTTTATTGGGTTATAAATTTAAAACTACGTTATGCTTTATTAGCGAAATTAACATTTTATTATTTATCTAATAAACACGATGTGCATATTTGTTTTAATAATTTTTTGGTTATGAGTTTTTATCAATTAAATTGTGCTCGTTAATTTCATATATTTACACCAATAAAGTTAATAATTTTGGTAGCGATTTAAAAATTAAGGGCCTGTCTGGGAGCAATTAAAATAGCCAAAAAAAATTCATTTTCTGCCCGTTGCAGTGAACTTCAGCCGCAATTCTTGACCGTCCATCTCACATGCGGGCCCCACTAACGGTCAGAAATTTGCTTACAATTCGGCCAAAATTGGGTCCAAACACGACCTAAATTTTGGGTCGTTACAGTTTGGTATCAGAGCTTTAGGTCTAATTTTCTGTAGACCCATATGTATTTTCATAACTTGAGTTTTGAAAAAAAAAAAATTACATGAATAGTGATAGCCATTTCACTGTTCATGTGAACAGTGGAAAAATTATTATTTTTATTTTTAAAAAAAGTTTGCCAATTTTGAGGTGTATTTCTAACTATTAAAATAATTGTTATATTTATTTAAAATATAAATTAGGCATGTGTGTATTTTTTTTAGTAACTGATATTTTATTTTCAAAAAAAAAAAAAACTTTTATTTTATTTTGTAATAATTAATCATGGATGATAGTTGATAATTTTTCTAGAATATCTCTTCAACTACTATACCTTGATTGACCCCTATTGATACTCTCTCTCTCTCTCTCTCTATATATATATATATGAGCATTTTTACTTGTACATAATAATATGTACATCAACGTGTTCACCCCCTCACATGGGGGTGGGGTCCACTTGCAGATAATATTTTTTATTCAAGTGGGTCCCACCCTCATGTGAGATGGTGGATACTTTGATGTACATATTATTATGTACAAGTAGACAATTCCTTCTCGGATATATAGGACTCATTACTCTCCCCGTGTCGTAATCATCAAGTTTCCCTTTCCGTTTACTTTTTAACCGGCGGCTATGGTTTCCAAGCAAAGTTACGTAAGCGTTTGCGTCATTAATAATTTTCTCCTGCCGGGTCGGATCCTGATTGAACTATATATAAACAAATCTTCTTTCTCCAACACAAATATCTTGAATCACACTACCCAAAAAAATATATATAGTGCCAAACTGCCATTCCAGTTCAGACTCCAACTCCCATCATTTCCTTTCGAAAAAAAAGGGTTGCATAAAAGCATGGAGCAAAAAGAAACTGTCATCGATGAACAGATTTTAATAGTGGGTGCTGGTATATCCGGCCTCTCCACGGCTTTGGGGCTTCACAGGTACATGAAAATCTGCATGTTTTAGCTAAGCTTAAAAGTTATACTTTATGAGTACTTTATATATATGTTTGCATTGGTATAGGTTGGGAATTCGGAGCCTGGTTTTGGAATCATCGGACAGTTTAAGGATTTCTGGGTTTGCTCTTACCCTGTGGAGTAATGCCTGGAGGGCACTTGATGCCCTTGGCATTGGAGAGTATCTCCGGACTCTGTCTGTACAAATTCATGGGTATGGTTGCAAATTAATTGCTCTTTGTAAGCTTGAAATACTGGCACTGCGTTCATAAATTTTGAACTTATTTGCTGGTTTTGGTTGGTGCAGGTTTCAAATTTTTTCTCCGGATTCAAGCCTGCCCTCTTCCGAGCAATCCCCCAAAGCAGAAGGGAATTTGTGAGTATTTTATCCTCCAATTTATCTATCCATTTCGCTGTTCTTTTTCTTTTTTGTCTTATTCTTTGTTACAAACAATTCGTGTTCATACTTGTAAGTAATAGTCTGGACAAATTAGTTTAACTTCTTGAGCTTTGACGAGGATTTTAACATATTAGAGATTTATAGACAATGTTGCAACTATTGATTCTACTACTTGTTGATATTGGCCTCAGGGTTATCCTATGCGATAGTGTTTACTATTTAGTATCAAGAATTGTATGACGGCTCAATGAATTTAGACTTGAAAAGTTTTCAAAGGATACATTAGAATTATTTATCGGATAATTGACAGTGGATTCAGCAAATATAGGTGGGCCTCCATTGCTATTTAGATTGATGATATACACCAGTAGTAAGGCTATG